TACTTACATTCATCAGAGCTGTTTCCAGAATGTCATCGATGGCAAAGTTGAAGAGGAATGGTGAGATTGGGCAACCCTGCCTAACCCCACTGCTCGAATGGAACAATGGAGAGAGGTGGTTGTATGCCCTCACTCTGCCTGAGGTGTTTTTATACAGGGCTTTTAGGATGTTAATAAACTTCTCAGGCACACCCTTCTTCAATAGACAATCCCAGAGAACAGTCCTATCCAACGAATCGAAGGCAGCTTTGATGTCAAGAAACACTACGATTGTTGGCCTTTGAAAAGTATGACGGTGTTCTAACATTTGACGGAGGGTGAAGATATAATCAATACATCCTCGACCAGAACGAAACCCAACCTGCTCCCCGCGAGTCAATCATTCTCGGGTTTTGAACAACCTACGAAGTATGACTGAAGCCAATAGCTTGGACGCAATCGGAAGTAAACTTATCCCCCGATAGTTGTTACAAGAACGACGTGAACCCTTTTTAAAGATAGGGACAACTATCGACTCATTCCATGACGTTGGTACACTCTCTAGTTCCCAAACCTTTGTAAACAACGTCGTCAATTCCTTAGTCATAAAGTCACCACCATCTTTAAAAAGAGCCGGAGGTAAGTCATCTGGGCCAGGTGATTTGTAACGCTTCAAGAGTTGGAGTTCCTTGCGGACTTCCGCCTCATTTGGTGGATCAGTCGTCACCGGCCATGGAGGGCAGGACAGTCTGACCGATGTTGCCGGAGCAGCAGGCCAGTTGAACTGCTCTTCGAAAAATTCTGCCCATCGTCCAAGACGTCGATGGACGTTACTGATTGGCATCTCATCATCCTCGCACATTGTTTCACTCACACCAGACTTCTTGCTGCCAGTGGCTCGGATGAGCTGGAAGAGCTTCCGGTAGTTACCAGATGCAGCTGCTGCTTCCAGCTCATTAGCACGCATCGACCACCAGGCTTCTCGGTCCTTACGCAAGCTTTGCCCGATTTCCTTACGTAAAATCCTTCGTTTATGGTCAAACTCACGGTTACCCGGAGTAGACCGACGGGCTTCAATGAGTTGTAAGGAACCAGAAGAAACCCAGTGCTTAAAAACGGGACGTTTCGCAAACCCACAACTGACTGTTCCCGCCATTTTCATGGCGTCATGCAATTGCAACCAATGCTCATCTATACTTTTCGGTGGAGTGGTAGCTAGCCTAGAGGCTAGCTCGGTTCGATACTTATTTGCAACCAGCTTGCTAACATCAATCCGTTGATGGCGTTCACTTCGTTGGTCACTGATAAGTGAGGTAAGATTGGCGCAGACCAAGGCATGGTCAGAGTCCAGATAGGTACTCCAAAAGGAGCGGCAGTCTTGTACACAACCACGCCAGCGATAGCTGATCGCGATGTGATCAATCTGAGTCCAGGCTTGAGATGCAGACGGAGGACGCCAGGTGGCACATCGGCGATGGCTGTGCCGAAAGTTAGTGCTAGCCAGAAACAGGTTGTGGTCTATACAAAGTTGCAGTAGACGGTCCCCGTTATCTGACCTGCGACCAACGAGTCCCCATCGACCACCTAAACGACTCTCTTCTGTGCCTAGACGCCCGACCTGAGCATTCAAGTCTCCGGCTAGTACTACAATATCTGTCGAACGCACTTTCTGGAGAAGAACTGATAACTGGTGGTAAAACTCATCCTTGATTGCATCCGGGCTGCAATCTGTCGGGGCATAGGCGGAGATGACGAAAAGACATCGTTTCTCACGCCGATTTCTTCTCACTTTGATGGAACTCTCTAATCTAACAGCACATAACCGACTGTTATTGGGGATCCAATCGACTAGTGCTGCCTCAGCTCTAGTGCTTAGTGCGACACCAACGCCAGCAAGACCAGACGAAGATGCCACAGGGTCCCCGGATAAGCGCACGTAAAACAAGCTTTTCGAAGCGACAGATGGAGATCGAATTTGTAGTACTTCACCAGAGTCTTGAATACGGGTCTCGGATAGACAACACACGTCGATATTAAGACTTTCCAAAGACATAGCCAGCCCTATCTGTTGTCCAACCTGCATAAATGTGCGAACGTTGAAGGCAGCCAGTTTGAATGGTGCACGTGGTTTCAGAAAGACTGCTTCAGTCCTCGTATTCGGTGGTAACATACAATTTTCAACCGGACAGTGACTCGAGAACGTTTAGATACAGTCGGAATTCCACCAAAGACGAGCCGCTGTATAAGTATAAAAGAGGGTGAATAATGTGGAAAATAATAATAATAATGATAATAATAACAATAATGACAATAATAGTAGTAATAATAATATTAGTATTAATAATGACAATAATTGTAATGATAATAATCTGAATCAATTGTTTGTTTTTCAAAGCGAGAAAGGTAATTTCCATAGGCATAAAGAGTTCATCGATTTGTGTGTGGGCTGTGATACTGCCCGGGTGCACAGACCGAAGCAGGTGGTTTTCCTAGGGGGTCACACTCAGAGACTTTGACCCTAAATTCTGATCCACAAGGCAGTGGAGCAACGTAGGGAGATGCAGTCCCATGGTAGCCGGTGACCAACGATTGGTTCATACGCCATTCGTTCCCTCAGGATACTGGAGCCCATGTGCACCATTGATTTGGAATCCAGTTAAAGCGCCGGACATTCGCTTTTCGTCCTCTCATTTTCGTAAACAACACCCCCGCCACGAGAAGGCAATGAGTAGGACTTCCCTGGCAGAGGCTGTATACGCGTGGCCGTGTGAGAGTATTTCGAGAGGGAGGGCGGACTCACCCCACTCTCGGCCGTACCAGGGCATTCAGGGGAATCATGTATTTATTTGAACACATAAATATTGGTACAAAGAGACACCGTATACATATGTGCAACACAAGTCACTTCATTTGTGTGTGGGCTGTGATAATGCCCGGGTACCCAGACTGAAGCAGGTGGTTTTCTCAGGGGAATATACCCGGAGCCATCGACCCAAAGGTCTGATCAACAAGGCAACGGAACAACGTTAGGATAGGTAGTTTAATGGTAACCGGCGAACAACAATGAGTCATCCGTTGTCTCAGAATCCTGGAGCCCCGACGCACCACTGGTTTGGAATCAAAGTTTTCCAACTCCCATAGGTGGATCCTCCATATCTACCAACCCAGTAAAAGCGCCGGATATTCGCTTTTCTTCCTCTGAATTTCGTAAACAACACCCCCGACCAAGGGAAGGCTGTGAGCAGAACTTCCCTGGGCGTGGTTGTATGCACGTGGCTATGTGAGAGCTGACCTCCATCCCCGGCCGTACCGGGGTGTTGCCGTAACACACATGAACGAAGCACTTCAAAACAATCTGATATCACATACCTGTTCTCTACATATAATGCTACTATCTATATTAAGCTGATTATGTATATAAACTGATATAAATTGTGTAATTATTATTTTCATAGTATATTTACTATTATTATATTAATGTAGACCTATGGTGAGAAAATGGCAGTATACTGAAAGATGTTTTAAACTAATTTCGTTTGTCCACGGTTTATTTCTCATATTTTATAAATTATGTAGAACTTATAACTTGATAATCTAAGCGAAGTACGTTATCCAGTTGTATTTCTGACCCAACCGAAGAAATGCAAAACTAGACTACTTATAAATAAAGTTTTAGAAATCCATAGCTAAACAAAAAATACTCTTGTAGTTCTCGCTCAATTGTTTTCTCAAGTTTAGCCAATTTCTTTAAAGAAAATTTATTTGAATCTCTAATAGAATTATATATATAGGGCTAACGATAGAAAACCACAATCGTTTAAATTTCTCATTTGCAGCCATTTCAATGATCCATACAACTGAAAAAAAATAGTGCTCACAACCGCCGTGCATTTAATGATATTCCAGATACACTGAGCACAGCTTTTGAAAGCAGGTCAACCAATGACTTATTTTTAAATATCTATAATCATCCACCTGTAATTAATCAGTAGAGGTTACCGACTTAGACCAATGTGGTTCATATTTCAGTCAAAACATATTTGGTATTTTGTGTGATCAAATGATTACTAGAACTTTTTTCTAATTTGAATTGAATCAGTGTAATACATCCTCTTTCTTATGGTGGTCAACTGTATTATGAAGACTTCGACATCTCAGGACCAATTAGACGATTTGGACTTCGCAGATGACATAGCCTTCCTATCCCATACACACGAACAAATGCAGATGAAGATAACTAGTGTAGCAGCAGTCTCTGAATCAGTAGGCCTCAACATACACGAAGAAAATACCAAGATCCTCAAATACAACACGGAGAAGACTAACTCAATCCCACTTAATGGTGAAACTCTTGAAGATGTGGGATCCTTCACTTACCTGAGAAGCATCATCGATGAACAAGGAGGATCCGATGCAGACGTAAAGGCGAGGATTGGCAAAGTCAGGGCCGCATTCCTACAATTGAAGTACATATGGAACTCAAAACAACTGTCAACCAATATCAAAGTTAGAATCTTCAATACGAACGTCAAGGTAGTTCTACTGTACGGAGCTGAAACGTCGAGAACTACAACAACCACAGTCAAGAAAGTACAAGTATTTATAAATATTTGTCTACGCAAGATACTCAACATCGATTGGCCGGATACCATAAGCAACAGCCTACTGTTGAAGAAGACAAACCAGCTTTTAGTTGAAGAGGAAATTAGGAAAAGACGATGGAAATGGATAAGACATACATTACGGAAGTCACTAAACTTTATCACGAGACAGGTGCCAACTTGGAATCCTGAACGGAAGCAGAAAAGAGGAAGGCAAAAGAGCACTACGTCGGGAAATAGAAGTAAATATGAAAAGGATGAATAACAACTGGAAAGAGCTGGAAAGGATTGCCCAGGATAGGGTTGGATGATGAATGCTGGTGAGCGACGTATGCTCCTCCACGAGGAGTAATAAACGTAAGTGTACCGCGGTTAATCTCATACATTTGATATTATTTATCATAAATTGAAAGGAAGACGATCTTTTAAAAGAATTCATAATACATATATAGATCAGTGAACGTTGATTGATACATTTAAAGTTTATTGCTTGATTATATTTTGAAAATAACTAATAACCAATTAATAAGAAACATAATTCCATGCTCAATTTTTACAATATGATAAAGAGATTATTATTATTATTATTAATTTGTAATAATTGAAAAGTTTTTGAATATAAAATAGAACGAAAGACAAGAATAATACAAATTAAAATTGTTATAATTTTACATTAAGCAAAATGAAAAGGGTAGCCAAGTCGTGTAAACGGATAAAACAATAGAACTCATAAAATGACACATAATACGGAAATATATATATATATATTTCTATGTATATTATATTGTAAATAGAAAAATCAATAATTTCAGCTAAATATGTATCGAAAACTATTATTAAAATTAATTATTAAATCATTTATACTTTCATTTTTTTAAAAAGTTTTTACGTGGATAAGTAGTTTTGGATTAAAAATTACCCCCTATCTTAATCATAATTGTCACCTCTTGGATACAGAAAACTTAAATATTTTTTATCAATGTCAAAATGGATAAGAACATTGTCAGTTCAAAAAAAAGAGAAAATAAATCGACAAACCAACAGAATGGGAAAATCAACTTTGACAAATAAGCAATGATGATATTACATTGTTTTCTCTCCTTTTTTGCAGAATCTATTGAAGCATTTCGACTTAATCTCTTTGAAATCTTGCTTAGGTTTGGAAAATACTGAAAAACCATTTCTGATTTTAAGCATCAGCCGCATTCGACAGTGATGAAGATGATGGTAATAATGATTGTTCAACACTGAAACAACATTGACGACTTTCATTGGCTACCATACGGAAAAGCAACTGTGATGAGATTTTTAAAACAAAAGAGTTACATCGGCATTAGAAATAAAAATTAAAATAGCGGTAATTTATTTATAACATCTAATTACGTCTCATGACTAATACCATGGTGTGGTTTACTTATATCCACATAAGTAGTATGTAACGGTGTCAGACATACAATGTATTTGAGTAGGAGGTCGATGAGAGAAGAGCGGGAACGGAACGCAATCGGTATGAGAACGGGTGAACAATGTAATCTGAGACAAATTAATGATTTACTATATGGTTCTCAGATTTTATTGAGATCCTCTGTCAGTCAGTCAGTCAGTAACAACGTAGAACTTCGTACGTACGTACATCAGTTCGAGTTGCCACACCACATTAGCACAGAGATGCACTTGTCGATTCAAATCCCGTAGTGGTAGAGGTAATAAGAGTATAAGCAGTAATCGGGAAGATTAGAGTTTGGAGATGTTATTTAAAGAGTATAATCCAGTGAAAGAAATTTGGAAAGAGGAAAAAAGGGACATGAAGAATTCAGAATTTGGGAGAACACAGAGAGTGGATGCACCTGCGCCATTGCAAACGATTTTGAGCCATGTCATTCAGGGTCTCTAACCATCGGTTGCTATCATCTCGCGGTCCCCAACCAGGTAGTCTACACCTACCAACATGACTCAGTTCACTTGTCAGTGACTTCATGGACTTGTGCCATGTTTTGGTTTGGCCGCCCCTAGCTTTCTTCCAACCTACTCCTATACCACTGAACATAGCACGTCGAGGCAGTCGGTCGTTGGGCATACGTAACACGTGTCCCAGCCAACTCAACTGATGAAGTTTCACTACTTCATCAATTGATTTGCCATCCTTACCTAGTACCTGTTTCCTAACAACTGTGTTACTTACTTGATGGTCCCATGATATACGAGCAATGTTTCGAAGACACCTATGATCAAATACTAGTAACCTACGGATATCCTCTACTCTTACCGGCCATTTTTTGGTCAAATTGTATTCGATTGTCCCGACTCGTATTCTTGTTCACTACCATTTCGAATCATAACACCATTTAATATATTTCCACTTTAACAGTTAACCGGACAGTAATAAAAGCTTAGTTTAATAAATAAGCACATATATATGTCATCATTTTTTTACTTAATTCCTAAACTTATAAAATGAACGTATCGTGGTAGTACATGCTTTCTATCTAATGTGATTATATCGAGTGCAATACAATTTGAAATAAAAGAATCTAGAGATAGTTGACCATGTGTCGTATCATAAACCAGCAAATTATAATACAATGATAGTTGCATTACTCTATCTTTAAACAAGTAGTATTCGGATTTCTTATGCAAGAATTAACTGTGAATACCAGGCAATCAAATCAAATAAGTTAACAAGTATACTTTCTATCCATTAAACACAAAAGCCAATATAAAATGACACAAGATAATTTATGAACATGGGAAGTTATGTGATCAAAATAATTCAATTACGGTATTTTCTTGACTGCTTTTTCGGCTGGATGAAATTTGATGAGGTGTTTGTCAATCCTGTGACTAACCATAATCCATCCCACAGCTTGAACCTTGCGGTAACGACAGAGAGCTTCATTCAGAATTCTGCAATCAAGCCTCTGTCAGTACAAAAACCACTTCAACAGTGCTGCTGAACCGAATGGGAAATCCTACCTATTACAGATAACAAACCAACTGCCGGTTGAGGAGGAAATCGGGAAAGGAAACTGGAGGTGGATCGGATACAGTTTACGGAAATCATCAAACTGAACCACAAGTCAAGCCCTGACTTATATTCTTCAAGACAAAAGGAAAAGAAGCAGGCCAAAAAATGTCGCTGATAATTGGGGCCAGACATCAAGATCATGAGTAGCATTTGGCGACAGGTGGAAAGAAGATCCTAGAATGGAATCGTCAGGTGACTCTTAATTGGAGTTTTCTACCTCATATGGTGGGTGGCAGGTCCCAGTTAGCAATTTTTAGCTGATATATGGGGTGGAAATATTTAAATTAGGAAGTAATCTTCCACAAGTTCTTAAATACTTTATTACGTAGGAAATTCATGTTCCTCACATCAACTAAAAATAAACGGAAAAACCTATCAGGAGGGGGAGATGATAATAAGATTTTTAGATATTGCCTGATTTCTCCAAATCTAGACGGTCACGAGTCATCTGAAGTTTAAATGTTAAGCGGGAAATCACTTAGAAAAAATGAGACGAAAAGAAGTAGCATATATTTTAGACAAGGGTCTCAACCCACATACAGCTATCTAGGTCACGGAAGACATCTGTTTAACTATCCATGATCTGTCCACATTACTATTCGGCTCGGCAATTAAACATCCCAGTCATGCACTCTTCTTATCTGCATAGCGGGTTTGGTATACTGCAAGAAGCGTACATATCGTAAATGGATCAGACCGCAGAACACAGGAACTAATAACACATTTTAAGAGCAGATTATTTGGAGATAAAAGAATAAGTAATAGAAAACACAACTTACGACTGCAGCCAGAGCTAACGCGACCATAAGCATAATAATAATGACAGACCAACCATATGGTTTCATGAGACCACACAGTAAAGGTCCGAGTGCTGCACCTAATTTAACGAATGTGAAAAATGAAAACAACACATCATGCCGCCGATGAAATAAGAATATTTATCTTTTATACAGTTACAATGATTGTAAAAACGACGACAGTAATAATGTATGATATATAAATAGAAATGATAAGTCAATTAATTAAACCATAAACGTTTATTAACTGAAATAGCTGATATACATGTTATACAGGCCTTGTTACTGGCTGCCCCCAGGTTAGATCTTGAATGACATAGGAGTAGATCAGCAGAAAATCTAGGAGTGAACAGACCAAACTATAGTATCAACCTATGAAGTTGATGAGTGTACGCTATTAAACTGATTTACGACTTCTTCATTATTAGTATTTCGATCTACGGTCACGAATGTGTTATCCACGTAACGGAAGTGTAGATCTAGTTTATTGATAGCTTACATGAACGGTTCATTTCTTATTGTTAAGAAATAAGCTAAAACTGGACTTAAATATGAGCCCATAGCTATTTTATCAATTTGTCTATAATAATTATTGTCGAAAACAAAACGACTTAACGAACGATTTTATCAATTCTTCACATTACGCATTTTTTCGTCAATCATCTCATTCTATTTATATTCTTCACTATCTGATTGTTTACACGAGTTTTATTACGTAATTTTATTAATATTATTATTAAGGGCTTTATTTAATATTATATTTTGGTATAATATAGAATTCTCAGTACAGGGTATTATCCGCTATCAAGTTACTTACGCAACAACAAAAAAAACACAGTAACAAATAAAAAAAGAAATAAAAGTTTTTTCTAAAAAAAAACCGAAAACCTGTACAACTTTTAAAATTAGAGACATGTTAAGAATGCAGGTTATTGACTAGGTTAACTCTAACAACCTGTTCGTCACAGAGTATATTTGCTAGGTAAGGTATTATAGAACTTTTATACTTTTGCTTGCGTGCATGGATTTTAATGTAATTACGTCTCGTTCTACCAAAAGATATACAAGGAGAAAGATATGAGTGAAGGGGATGGTTAGTATCTGATAAAATAACACCTATCAGGAGTTTGCATGACTTTAGGTGTCTATCCACAACCATAGTAATTATGACCTCGAAAGATTCACCACACATCTTGCTAACTGCCTTCAGCACTCTCCGCAATACAGCAGTCTTTTCTCAAGAGCCCGGGAAAGAATAATGGAGAACAGTAAAGAATAATAGGTAATATGCAAGAATTGACAAATTGTAAGAGTAAATGACGAGTAATCCCGAGAGCATGCAATCTCTTTATGTAGTAAGTCAGACGGAAAGCCTTCTTCGATAACAATAAAACGTGGGAAGACCAAGATAGATCAGAGGAAAAGGTGACACCAAGATAATTGACCTTCGACACTGTGTTTATCAAAGAGTCTCCAATGGTACAAGCATTATGGGATCTCAAAATGGTGTTTAGATTCCGTTCATGTCTCATGCTAAAGTTAACAGCTTGACATTTAGACGGATTAAGTGTGATACCATTACCAACAGACCAACAATCAATACGAAACAAAACTCATTCATTTCTATGGAATGTAAAGAGGAAGAGATAGGCATACATACAGTGAGATTATCCGCATATTTCACAAGAGTGTTTTCTGTGGAAGATGGCAGATCATGCAGAAAAAAAGAGAAGAAGAGGTGAAAGAACAACTCCTTGTGGTACCCCTTCATGAGACAGAAGAGACTCTGAACACTTTCCTCCAAACACAGTGTACTGTTCCCTTCCAGAGAGGTAGGAACATAGCCAGTTAGTTATTCAGCTGTCAGTGTCGACGCTGATTAACTTGTTGATTAATCGTTGTCTTGGTATGGAATCAAAAGCTGAAGCATAGTCCAGAAAAGCACATCGAACATATTTCTTACCCTTTTCTAAGTTGAACACTATGTTGTGATAAAGGAGAGCAACAGCATCTAAAGTGCTTCTTTTGCGTCTGTATGCAATCTGATATGGATCAATATGCTCTTTTATCGCAAGCTGAAGTGGAAGTATTAATAATTTTTCCATTGTTTTGAGGAAGAGTGAAGTTATTGCAATAAGTCTAAATTTTACATTCTTATCACCAGATGCTTTCGTGGGTACAGGAATTATCTACATCTTTCTCTAAATTTTCGGTATGAGATTAGATGAGAAGGATCTGTTAAAGATAGTTGTGAACGGATAACATAGGACGTCAGCACACGTTTTACAAAGGATGTTTGGGATACCATCAGGTCCCAAACATCGAGATGAATTAAGCGACTGGAGACATCCTCGTACATCAGTCTCAGTGAAAGTAGGAAAACAACTATTATTTAAACCCGTGGATAGAGGGAGCATCACATTAGATGACTGACGTACAAAATACTTATTTAAGTCACAAACATTCAGCTGGTTATCGCTTCCAAACTTTCTGTCACCTGTAAGTTCTTTAAAGAGTTTCCACATACTTGGAGAGTTTTTGCAAAACAAGAGTTTTTGAGTAGACATACAGTTGAGACGTCTAATCTCTAGGTTTATCAGACCATTTAGCTTACGAATTTCATAAGAGTTTTTCTCCTTGTACATTTTTTCTTTCACCCTCCGTAGTCGTTTTAGTTGTGAAGATGTAAGTCGTTCAAAACTTACAAAAATGGTTTCAGTGGGACAACAAATATCAAAACAGAATTTAAGGTAACAAGTGATAACATCAGTAGTGTTTTCCAGTGTGTCATCTGTAAATAATTCCCAGTTAGTCGTATGAAACATGTTTTTCAGATTTCGGATATTTTCTTCTGAGTAATCCCTATATTTGACTTTCTTGGTTTGATGTAAGAGTGTACTCTTCCCACGCTTTCCATATACTTTAGGTAGAACACGAATTATACAGTGATCCGAGCTAGACAGTGGAGCACGTTTACGAGTCGCATATATACCCACATCATTAATCAAGACGAAGTCTAAATGAGCATTCAAACGGGTAGGAAAATCTACTAAATTTTGGTGACCTAGTGACGTAAAGAAGTTACAGTCACATGAATTGAAATCACCACATACAACTGAAAGTGAGTCACTGAAGGCAGAAACAGCGAACTCAGTGAATTCATCAGCGAAAACAGATAGTGCAGATGATGTGCAATCTGGAGTAACGTAGATATTGGTAACATAAACATATTTGTATTTATTCAGATGTTTTGGACGACATCTTAGAGTTTGACAGTTGATAAAGGCATTTGAAAACTTAAAACACACAAACGAAGATCGACACCAGTTTATGTTTACAAACGTAGCTACACTACCACCACACCTCTTTTTGTTGTGTTGATCGATCCTGACGATAAATTTTGAAATCACGTAGTGATACTAGGCAGTCATCCTGTAAATCATTTAACCAAGATTCTTGAATTTTGATGACACCACAATTACGATACATATTTTGACTTAGTGGGAATTGAAGATAGTCCATTTTGTTGATTAGTGATCAGTAGTTAGAATTTAGCAGCTCGGAAATCGACATACGATTAATGTTCATTCTCTTTAACGCATATTGCCAACCACCACGATGTCTTTGATAGTACTTTTTTGTAACTTGTGCAGCGAAAGGTCGTAAGCTTTTCATAAAAGCGTCTGAATAGGTTATGCGATTAATGGACATAATTATAAGTTAAAACAAATGAAAAAGCAGATAACTTGTTGAAATAATCAGATGGCAAAAACAAGTAACCCAGATATTCAAGCAGGCCGCCAAATTTTAACTAGTTTATGCGATTATTATTTCAAAAACTATTTATCGAAGTTTGACCTACTTCTTATGTTGGACTATTGATCAGAACTTTTGTTATTTTATAAACTGTATCACTACTACTTGTACACCTGCCTTCTTACTATCAATTTCCATTATTTACTCCGACTAATCCACGAAATTGAGCGACACGTCCACCATTGCCGTCAGTGAGTTAGACATTAACACCGTTGGATGCCGGCAAGTTCAGTGGTCTAGGGGTTAAGCGTTCGCGCGCGAGGTCGATAAGTTCTGGGTTCGAACCTCGCGAGGTGGAATCGTGGATGCGCAGTGCCGAAAAGTCACACAATAGGACGAGACGGCCGTCCAGTGCTTTCAGGTTTCCCATGGTGGTTCAAATTCAAGTGACTCATGATCTCGACTATTGAAATTACTATAATATCCACAAAAATCCCTTCTGATACTATCATATGTAGTTAAGTAATCTGGCCCGACCGTTGTTGCTACCTTGACGTGGTGGTCGGGCTTGCCTATCGTGATGAAGCAACCGAGCTATACTGGCTGGAACAACCGTTCCTCAAGGTCCTACCATGTCAGACAGGTCGGTTGAAGAGCGGTAAGACTAAAAGCAACAAACCCAAGGTCCGAAGGCGAAGTCGTACTGCTGACTGTACAGAGGTGTGACAGCAGTAAGGTGTTTCCTTCAGACAACCAGCATGACAGCGATGCTGCCCTCCCACAAGGAGGGGTGGGGTTAGAAAAGGTCGACCCTAAAAATGCACACCTCGCCTTATCCCACGGATATCCGTCTCCGGCGGTAAGGTCCCAATAAGTACGGAGCTAACACAAAAATTACCCATAACAAGGTCGTGTGTGACCGACCTCAAGCAGTTGTCCCTTGGGCACTGCGGTCACGCTCTCAGGTCACTAAGACCACCTTTAATCCAAATTCCTTTTCAGGTACCTCCAGAACAACCCTTCCACGGTGTGGGCAACCGGGAAGTGAAAACCGCCCTCATACCTCTAACAGCACTCAAGACCACTGTATTCATAATCAACCTTCCTCTTCAATTCCTATTATTCCTCCTACATCGACTTTCAACTTTAAATTTCCTCTCTCGGCTTCCACCTCAAGTGTCACCATAGCCAACGATTCTAGTGCGCAAAATACTGTCCCAGGTCTACTGAAACCTCGCTCCAAACTACACATTGGAGCCTTCAACGTACGAACCCTATGTCAAATCGGTCAGCAGGCTTCCTTGGCTAAAACCCTAGAGTCTCTTACCATTGACGTGTGCTGTGTCTCCGAAACACGCATACAGGATTCCAGTGTGGTCATTCACCTGACCTCACCTCGGCAAAACGGAGAGCCAACGAGGTACACCCTTCGTGTATCTGGTGACCCGATGGCAAGTTCTCGTGGACTGGCAGGTGTAGGCATAGCACTAAGCATGAGGGCCGAACAAGCACTGCTAGAGTGGATCCCCGTCAACAGTCGTCTATGTGCTGTTCGGCTGAACGGCTACGTAAGAACTCGGAAGGATAAGGACACACGTCGTTGCCTTTTTGTCGTTTCTGCCTACGCTCCCACTGACTGCAGCTCAGATGATGTGAAAGATGAATTTTACAGAAAGCTGTCCGAACTTCTTCAGAAAGCTAAACGCTCAGACACAGTACTCGTAGCAGGTGATTTTAATGCTCAGATAGGCAGTTTAAACCAAACAGAAAGGCATTTAGGTGGATATTTTAGTATTCCGACACAGCGAACAGATAATGGTGATCGTCTGCTGCAGCTATGCTCAGACAATCATTTATTTTTAGCAAACACAAATTTTAAGCATAAGGAGAGACATCGTCTAACATGGCGACCCCCTACACCAAACCAACGATGGACTCAAATAGACCATATTGCCATCAGTCATCGTTGGAGAGGGTCGGTAGAAGACTGTCGCTCATTCTGGAGTACCTGCTTGGACTCCGACCATGCCCTAATACGGGCACGCATCTGCTTGCGCCTCACTGGACGCAAAAAAGCCACATTAAAAAGACCCGTTAGAACTGATTTGAGTAACGAGAAAACCAAAAGTAGGTTCCAGGAACAACTGAGGTCACACTTAGGTAGTTGTGAAGACGAGGCTGACCCAGATGTTGCTTGGAAGGGCATACAATCAGCTGTGGAAACAGCAGTGACATCTATTAGTGACTTAAACCACAGAGTTGCAAGGAACCAGTGGATTTCTTCAAGGTCTGTCACACTGATGGATTCTCGCAAACTCGTCCCATCAGGTTCTGAACATGATGAAGAGCGAAAACAAATCAGATCTAGGTTAAGAAAAAGTCTAAGAAACGACCGTGAGCAGTGGTGGGCAACGAAAGCAAAAGAGATGGAAAAGGCGGCGACTATAGGGAACACAAGACAGCTTTACAGACTAATAAAAGAAACTGGAATTAATAAGTCAAGTGTAAGTGAGATTATTTCGGAAAAAGATGATACTCTCATCTGCTCCCAGTCCAGACGTTTAGAACGATGGGCGGAACATTTTAGAGAACAGTTCAGCTGGCCTTCAGCTACTCTACAACTACCCTCCATTCCCAGACAGTGTGAATGGAACATTGAAATAGGTCCCCCTACTCTTGCTGAAGTTCAAAAGGCTATAGTTAATCTGAAACGAGGAAGGGCAGCTGGTCCAGATGGATTGGCTCCAGAGGTCTTTAAGGATGGTGGTCCAATTTTAGCGATTAAGTTGACTAATATTTTAGCTAAGATCTGGGAATTAGACTTTATCCCATCTGACTGGTCGCAATCACTTATCGTCCCAATATATAAGAAAGGGTCAAAATCATCCTGTGACAACCATAGAGGGATTAGTTTAACAAACATAGTATCTAAAATACTGGCCTCGATAATTATCAAACGCCTAACTAAGACTCGTGAACTACAAACTCGAGAGAACCAAGCTGGCTTTAGACCTGGTCGTGGCTGCATCGACCACATATTCACCATTCGTCAGGTTCTAGAACACAGGCATACCTATCGGCGTCCGACGATGGTGGTCTTTCTTGACTTAAAAGCAGCATTTGACTCGGTAGACCGCGAGACTCTGTGGCAGTGTCTGTCATTGAAAGGCGTACCTCAGAAGTACATAAACCTTGTGAAGGCTCTTTACTCGAACACTACTAGTCGAGTCAGGGCTTATGGCGAACTGTCATCTACTTTTGCAACCTCAAGTGGTGTCCGTCAAGGCTGTCCACTTTCTCCATTTTTGTTTAACTTCATCATAGACCTATTGATGGAAATAACACTCTCGTCGACTGAATTCTCGGGTATTGATCTCCTTCCAGGAGGTCCACTTATCGACTTAGAATACGCAGATGACATAGTCCTGTTTGGTGAAGACGCTGACAAAATGCAGAGTCTTCTGGTAGCACTAAGCAACAATGCCAGAATGTTTGGGATGAGCTTCTCTCCCTCTAAATGCAAGTTGTTGCTTCAGGACTGGTCTGCGTCAACACCTGAACTAAGGATAGGGAGTGAAGTAGTCGAACGCGTTGATAACTTCACTTATCTTGGAAGTGTGATCAGCCCTAATGGGTTGGTGTCTGACGAAATCTCAGCACGGATTCGAAAAGCTCGCTTGGCTTTTGCCAACTTACGTCACCTATGGCGAAGGCGAGATATCCGTCTATCAATAAAAGGACGGGTATACTGCGCGGCAGTTCGTTCTGTTTTAATTTACGGCAGCGAAACATAGCCACTAAGAGTAGAAGACACTCGTAAGCTATTAGTATTTGACCACAGATGCCTTAGAAATATTGCTGGCGTCTGCTGGGATCACCGGGTAAGTAATAGTGAGGTTAGACGCAGGGTATTAGGGAATGATGGTAAATCAGTTGATGAGGTTATGAATCTTCATCGACTGAGATGGTTGGGCCACGTATTACGTATGCCTGAACACCGATTACCACGACGTGCAATGCTAACCGGGGTAGGGGATGGTTGGAAGAAAGTTAGGGGCGGCCAAACCAAAACGTGGCATCAGTGCCTGAAGTCACTAACTTCTAGTCTGAGCCATGTTGGTAGATGCAGACTACTTGGTTGGGGTCCGCGTGACTTTCGTAACCAATGGTTGGAGACTCTTGGTGACATGGCTCAGAATCGATCACAATGGCGTCGGTGTATACACTCCCTGTCTTCCCTTAAACTAAAAGATTAAAATCACTTCATTCTTTCTGTCTACGAACTAATTCTTTCTTCCTATACTATATCCTTATTGCAACCTTTGACCTAACCACTCCTATGAATCCGGTGTTCATCTTGCTGTGCTAATGAGGTATGGCAACCTGGACCGATGCACATATGTGCCTGGTCCTACGTTGTAGCTGACTGACTGACTGAAGTAATCTGCCGGATTGTGACTATTGACTAATGTAATGCCTCCATTGGTTTAATATTTCCATGTAAATATCTATGTACATTAGAGTAAAGCCTGATGAATATCTAATTTAAAACAATATTGTTCGTTTACATATGTCGTTCCAAAATTAAGATAGTTAATTAGGGAATATTCGAACAAATTTAAAACGCCAGTGTGAATAGCTGGTTGTTGAAAGTAATGGTTCCAACAGCTATTACGGAACTTGAAACGACGGGATGACGTTTTTGCGGAATAAAGTGTTAGGAATACGAGTTAAGGTTACGGTAATGATCTTCAGTCTAACTTGCCGATATTTAGCCCTGATAAGTTTACTATTCGTCTTAAAATATTTAATCCTTTGTAATTTTATCATTTCGTAATATAGAATTCTTTCACAAAGACTGCATTATGATTAGTTGATCTCAAGGTCACTCCTAAAAACTACCTAAGGTCATCGGTATAATATAGTTTAACCTAGATTTCATTCACCTTTATTCTTCGATCATAATGAAGTCGACAAAAGGTATTAAAACACAATCTAACAATAAACAGCTTAAAACCCTATACTTCAATGTTACCAAATAAGTTCAGTTAGTGAAGAAACTAACGGTTAAACTTCTACAGCAGTTTTATAATGGAAACAATTTAACTAAAAAGTGGCTAGAATCAATTTGCAGCTGCTTAGATGTACCAATTATGAAATAACTTATTCCTTCACTCTTAACGGCATCGTTTTACTCTTCTTTCAATACGGTATGCAGATTAGTTGGACATTCGAATACCATGAATACCACATATATTTAAATGTACATTCAATGTGATGGACAAATATGAATATAACAGCTGAGGCAATAAGTCAGGACTCAATAATTAACATTCTAAGATTAAATAATTCCCTTCATTTGATATTACTAATTTAATGCTTGATTTTCGCAAAGACCTACCAAAATATATAATACTTTGGTTATTCACTGGTTCGAAACAGATTATAAAATGTTTGATATAAACCTATGTTTAACAAATGACTGACAATATATTACTGTATATTAAGAATATTAATTAACCATTGGACGGATTTACTTAAAGTTATCAACAAAGTGTAGAAACTGTTAGATATTGTGACTCCATTCAACACATGGTATACAAATCTCCACTGTCGATAGGTTAGGTCATTTGAATTACATTTTTACGGATTTGTTAGCTTTAGATATATACTAATAAGATTTTCCTCATCAAAGTATCAAGGATAAATAGCCGCAACTATGAGTAAAACTAAGTGCAACATGAAGTGAGTATTGTTAGCACAACGTACCAACTGAACCTGTTCCATCAATAATACCTGTTACTGTAGCCAATGCACGAGAATTTTTAGACAATGAAGGATGAGTACCTAGATCAGCTGAAACTGCTGTTGTAATCAAAGCGTAAGGACCATTAACAAACAATCCCAATGGGATTAATAAACCTAAAATAATGTAGGAATTAGTCATTAGAAAAGTATATTTTTAAAGGATCTGTTAAGCATAATAAAAATAATAACAGAACCAGTAAACATTTACAATTTTGAACAATTGATTGATAATACTACTTGATTGCTTAAATCTCAGTAAGAGATAATGTGCAAACAATTGAACTGGTCACAAATATACATCGTGGAGAATTAGGTTTCTAATTAAACATGCTAGAAATCCAATATATGTTAATTTTCCCTTAGATTCTGAGCTTCAAATTTGTTTCATACTTCTCATCCTACGAATTAATTCTTCCCTCTCGAATTACATTTATGGTTAATCATTGTTATTACCATTGATAATACAACTACTGTTTTTACCACTTCGATATTTATCTTGATAATTTCATCTCGTTGTCCTGATGTGATATATATATATATATATATATATATATATATATATATATAATGTTCCAAGTTTTACACTATCTAGGAGTGGATGACTGCAGGACATATAAAATGCCATAGTACTGAAAAGCTGAGTATGATGATAGATAAATTTCAAAAAGGATTGAAGGTATCGGATATATACAACAATAGCTGTCGCCTGCTCTATTCTAGTATCTGTCATCAGTACGTCCGCAGACTACCGTGTGATGAAAATGAAGGATAAGTTGTTATACATCATAGAATTATTTCAAAGAAAGATATTAGTTTAAGTGTTGCGATGGACCATTGATATTCTACTTTACCTATAATGATTGCAAACTAAAAATTACTTATTGAGCATATGTAAATTACTTCGAAACTAGAAAAGAATGCTTGACATCAACCCCAAGGTATCAGTCAAAAACTCTAAACGACGATGAAGAGTAACTGACTGATCAATCTTACCATCTAAAACAAAGGTCGTTCTGTTTTATCGAAAGAATGACAACTGAAGTAAAATCAACGTCAGTGAAGTTATCAAATAAGTCATATATTTATGTAACTTTGCACCGATTACTGATTCGTATATTCATTTGGCTTTCGAATCACAATCTTTTTGTTTACGCAGATAAGTAGTTAAAATACTACTGATCTGGCTAAACTGAAGCCAACAGCAGTGATGGTTTAGTTTTTAATCTAATGGTTGTAAGATGTACACTTTACTCACTGATCTGCACCCTTATCAGAGTATTTACAGTACTAAATTTCCGATTATTTATCAAAATATGGTTCACTCTCTTTCTACTCAGTGATATTGGATATATCACAGTTTAGTAAGTTTCATCATGAAATTCAACTAGTTTCTTGTACGAAATACAAAAATACTAATTGGATGATTTCTTTGGAAACCAGAAACGTGTCAAACGACCGTGTGGTAACGCACAGAATTATCAATTACACAGTGCGGACATTAAACAAGAAGTAATTTTTTCCCAAAACTTAGCAACACATAAATTGCAACTATACACCGAAATAAAATGAACTACCTAACCTTGCTCAACTTACCGATACAATGAGCTAAAGAACGAAATCCAACGATTGAGTATAGATACAACTATGTTGGATAAAAATAAATGAATAAAAACAATAATGAATAATGAAATCGGAGATAATAGTTACGGAGATTTTGTCTTATACTACAAGTGAAAAATTAAATGAGAACGAGGAAAAGGTCAGTAACTGTTTCATGACTCTGATGGTAAATATTGGTAACATTAACGAAGATCGTGTTATACCATCAAGCAAACTACATCCCGACCTCCTCTTTAAATATGAAATGAAGTTAAATGACTTAATGAGATCGACATTCTTAAAGTGCAATTTGAAAAGTAGCGGTTACTTATACGTATCAATGGTTTCCCGACTAACTGACTAGTACTTACAAATAAACAAATAAGCGATTCTCAAACTAACAAGATTAAGATTTTTCATATTAGGAACATAATATCAATGTTGAAATAGGGCTAAATCATGTTCTTAAGCTTAGATTTTATCTGGTATCATCTGGTGACTGAAATATGTTGGAAATATATGAACAATATAGGAAGTTTACACGGATAGAGCAGATGTGTTAAGTAAATCCGATCGTCATTCATATCGGCATGCTCTTTCGGTTTAACTGAGGCAGGACAGATAGGAATACAAGGTGATTAGATCAAGACTAAAAGTTGATATTAATGAAAGCCTTTACTAAATAAAGAATTTTAGGCTTCCTGTTTGAACTGACGTTTAAACAAATAGTGGTTTCACAATTTACAAAATCTCCAACGTCATGATATATTTCGAAACTCTTATTGCATATTTTTAAGTGTTTCTTTCATCTTCCAACTACCGTTGGTATCAATAATTCCAAATTTATTCTTCTTGATGACTTTCCAATGCATATATATCATGATATAAAGTTCACGACGCAAGCCGTAACATGGAATCCTGAAGGAAAGAAGAAGAAAGGAAGAACCAAGGACATATTACGTCGGGAATCGGAGGCAGACAACAAAAGAACGAATAGCAATCAGAAACAGCTGAAAAGGAGAACCCAGGACAAAGTTGGTCGGAGTATCCTGGTCGGCGACCAACGCTCCTCCACGAGGGGTAACAAACATAAGTAAATTGATATAAACTATGGCAATTTGGACAGATAAGATATTTATGTTGAGAACATTATGGATGCGTTCGCAAGCCTATACAACAAATGAACATGGGTACTATTGCTCTTGAAGAATGTTATCTTTATTTATTCTCAAAAAGAATATTATAAGTGATAAAGAATCTGCTGAAATCAAAAATGGCTATAATAATGATTTTTGAGATGAATTAAATCTTGTTAGCAAAATTGCGTACCTCCATTGAATAAAACCAACGATTTCTGCAACTTCCAAAAATTTGAAAATTAATAATATACAGAGAGAGAGAACGTCTAATCAGTCTTTTAATATCGAACCAATGTTGTGAATACTCTCTTTCTTTAAATCTTTATTATTGAAACCAAACGCACCACATTATCATTTATAACCTAAGTGGCTTTACTGGAATAAAATACCATTGAAGATTGATGTTAGTAGATATTTTATGTTCATCTCCCCGTTGTAAGTATACTTAGCCGAAATTCACATAAATTACACAGTTTGTTTCAACTTTAATATGGATTCCATCTCTTTCACTTACACATACACATACACATATTATCGACTTTTTTCCCTTCAATACAAAAGTGAAAAAAAGTTAAGTGAAAATGCATAACCACTATGCAAGATTTCTTACCGTAGGTATCGACAAAGCAATCATTACAACACATGTAATAGCACTTGATCCAGTACAATCGGATACATAACCAGCGATAATTCCACCGAGTATTCCACCTAAATCAAAAACAGCTGATAAATCAGCTGATGATGATGGGTCGAAACCGCCTGCTTCACGTATATACATAGGTAACCAAAATAGGAAAGTATAAGAAACTAGCTTAGAGAAGAATAAAGTCAATGAATATTCAATAACACCCTGAAAGAGATAAAGTGAGAAAAAGCTTGTTGTAGAAAAAAGGATAAAATACAAAGACTACAAAGGTTATTTTAGATAAGAACGAATAGGTGGAACTTTGTAGACGATGCTACCGCGGATTACTATATACATTTTACCGGGTATTCATTAAATCTGATGTACAAGGTTTCACGTAATCTACTGGCTGTTAATATATCTTTTACCGTTGTTCACAGTGGCTGCTATACATTTTTGTACTACAAATGACCTAGGTAAATACATATTGTGACTTCCTATTTGTAGTGAGTTGTGGTTCTGTAATCGGTGAGTAAGAAATGTAAATCGGGCATGTTGTTCTGATGGTGTAGGTTGAGGACAAAGAATTCGCGTGGGCCACACCATGTAAGGATATTTTTTCTTGGGGTACCTGAAAAGAAAACTGGATTAAATGACACAAAAACCTGGAAACGTGACGAAATAGCTCAAGGAACAGGTGCTTGAGACCGGAAACATACGATCTTTATATTTGGAATATTCTGTGTGTCAGCTACGTACTTAGAAAGACCTAACCGCCAGGGACGGAAATGAATGGATTAAAATAGCTAGAACACATTCTACAAACAAGGTCTGGTAACAGATACAGTAGAACGGATATTGAGTTGGAAGCACATTAAGGAATATTTAGTACAAAAATCGAGTTCTCACAAAATCTGTCACAGAACAAAAACTTAAGCACAAAGAATAAGTTCTAACTTCAGAAACGGGATGACCTAAAGTTTAGTCTTGAACGTATTTCAAAACACATACTACTGAAGAATCAGGACTCAGTAAAAAAGCAATCATGTATTGAGTTCCACAGTAGTCAGAGGCTCTTCGATTGATATGACAAGTAGTATTGTAAACACAATAATTGAACTGTGAAACTTGAAGAGACAAGGAGAAAGTTTTACCAAAAAATAATATGTAGTTGTAATGTATAACAAGGCCTTTGTTTTTAGCTAAATACATCCTCACTACACACAAACTTACTGGTACTTTTAGTGCAGACAGAAATGATGAAGAGTTCTTTTTTGTTGGTATTAAAAGATTACATTGTGAACTAGTTGTTCCAAGCGATTCCTAAAATGGTAAGCAATAACAAGAAAGCCGTACGATAGTGATCACCAATCGAAAAGAAGTCCGGAAGCAAAAAGCACAGATGAGATACTATACAACACTAAGACAGAGCGAAAACTATTCTTTTAACAAACGACTAAAATAATGACGTAATACTTTGTTGGATTCATACACCCTGTACATTCAGTCAAACATTGTGATACTAGAAGAAATTAACGGGCAATACGGTTCGCAACCGCAAATATCTATATCAAATTAAAGTCTTGTCGATGTTCATATAATTCAGATGTAGTTTTCATCATGGATACCTGCTACAATCCTACTGGAAACTGATGAATAATTAGTATTCACTTTATCCAACCTTGAGACAACATGACAGTGTGTATTATCGACCGATACAGGGTCAAGTCAATCGGCTTCCAAGTCTCGTGATGACCACGATATTCTTGAATCACCATATTAGAACTCAATGACTCATAGTTTGTAACTCTTATCAATATGAGATAAATCGTGAGTATCGTTTAGTGTCATCCGATGAACATCCGTTTCACTCCACGCATGACTAATTTCATGGCTTCTAACTAGAGGTTCGTAGACGTTCTCATTTGAGCCATCAATAGTTACCACAAAATATTTAGATTTAAAAAGGTTGACAACTTAAACAATCTTAACTAGTTTTTATTATGATAATGGCATTTCTCTCTTGGTGAGAACATTTACCTTGTGTGTGTGTCTGTGTGGTAACGAGAAAACAAAAAGTATACTAAACCAAAATAATCGGATCCCGACTAATATTTATTCAATCATTAGTATTAAAAATGTACAATCTATGGATTGGTAGTAGGAACTAATAAGAAATAAATTGATTTTAGAACGATATCATATCAATAAGTACTTAAAACGGATCCCAATAGTACGAACCCTTATCTATTTTTTGTCTTACTATCTATTCGTGTGAGCTAAGGTGTCTTAAACAGTGAATTTTGTTGATCAAACTACCCTACCATGCTTAAAACAAGATGTAGGTACATGGAATACTTCCTGCCATTGAAGAATATTTGGAACTCTACAGAACTGTCATTCAAGATCAAAGCCAGAATTTCCAACGTGTCAAAGCGTCAAAACAGAATTATTAAACGGAGCCTAGAAATAGAGGACTACTACAACTTTTCCAAGTAAGGTACATATATTCATAAATAGCCTTCTGCCCACAATACATCAGATCCGTTAGTCAGAGCCCATCAATAATAACCAACTATTTCAGATAACAATCAAACTACCGGTTGAAGAGAAAATGGGGAAAAGATGTTTGAGGTGGGTCGAACACGGATAATGGAAACTTCTCATCAACATCATGAGACAAGCTCTAAACTGAAATCCTCAGCTGAACAGAAAAGCCCATGACAAGGTTGGTTGGAGATCATTGGTACGGCCAAGAGTGGGGAGAGCCCGTTCTTCCACTCCAAATTCTCCAACATGGCCACGCGTATATAGCCTCAGCCAGGAAAGTCCTACTCACTGCATTCTCGTGACATTACTGTTGTTTACGAAATCAAGAGGACAAAAAGCGAATGTCCGGCGCTTTAGCCGGGCCGGTGAGTCCACCTAGGGGAGTTGGAAAACCCTCATTCCAAACCAATGGTGCACATGGGCTCCAGTATCCTGAAGGAACAAGTGGCATATGAACCTAAGGTTAGTCACCGGCTTCCATGGGACTGCATCTCCTCACGATGCTCCACTGTCTTATGGATCAGACCTTCAGGCCGAAGGCTCCGAGTGTGGCCCGCTAAGAAAACCACCTGCTTCGGTTTGGGCACCCGAGTAGTATCACAGCCTTCACACATATCAAATGAGATTGTGTTGCACATATGTATTTGGTGCCTCCTTGTACCAATATCTATGTGTTAAAATAAATAAATTGGTCGGAAGCATATGTCCCAAGGGCATTACCAGGCTGTGATGATTAGAAGTATTCGAATTAATTTACTAACTAGGAATTCCCGAAATAGTGCAATTTAGGACAGGTACAATTAGATGAGCACAAGTAAACGTACTATATCTGGAATTCGGACAATCAAGTACGAAGGAATCATTGAATGACACGACTCAAAATCGTTTACCGTGTTGTAAGTGCACTCACCCTTTGTCGTCCCTGAAATCCTGAGCTTTTGAATTCTCTATAACTTTTTTGTTTCACTAATTTATATTTTATCGAATGGTATCTTTGATGTCTAATCTTTTCTATCACCATTCATACTATTATTACCTCTAATATTCTGGGATTTACCTCGATAATTTCATCTCTCTGTGCTTATGGGGTATGACACCTTGAACCCACATACATAACTGTCAGGTTTTACGTTGTGATGACGAAGACCCTCTTTACCCTCGAGTTTTGTCGGCAAAGATAGTAAATCGTTTGCTAAGATTATGAATCTGAATTAACTGAGGTGGTTAAGACATGTATTACTTATCAAGAACGAACGCTCGGTTTCCTTGTGTAGGTCTAGATTAGAAGAAAGCGAAGAGTGGACAAACCAAAACATGGTGTCAGTTTATGAAGTCATCAATATTTGGTTTGAGCCTTGTTGGTAAGTTTCAGACTATTTCCTAGGAATGGATAAGGTTATCATATTTATGGGTGGTGACCGACTGACGAGTTCTATGAGGTCAGTCTCTTACAAAGTATGCTGCAAAGTAAACATTTCTATTTGATGTGCTAATTAAGATTCTATTTTTATGTTGATAATAAATTGGTAATTGTGGTTTTAAAAACTCAAGCTAGCATCTACTATAAGCAATAATAAATTCCAACTTAAGCAACAATACTTAAAATAAAGTGAATTTATTTGCTTGATACAATGAAAACCAAGTCGACAGAAAGAAAACAACAAAATTAGAAAACTTGTGTCAGTATATATAGTAAAGGTTATTGTTTTCACGTGTAATACATAATCCCACCTAACAATAAGTAATGCTGTTTTTGCCGTAAAATAAAGGCTAAGTGACTATTATATATTATATGAAACTATTATCATTATATAATTTAAGAAAAAACTTGTAAAGTATTTACTTCTACGAAGTTCAATATACAAAAACCGACTAAAATTAGTATAAAAAAAGATCGGATTCTACTCATTTGTTAGATGATGACTCATTGAGATGAAATGAAACAATTTCGTCCTATTGGAATGCAATTGCTAAGCGTAAACAGTAGGCCATAGAATCACTTGAGTGCAAAGAAGAATCAATAGGACAATTTTTAATGTACAGACAGTTGAGATGGTTGGAACATGTGTTATGTATGCCCAACCACCGACTGCACCGACATGCGGTGTTTTATAGTGTAGGTGTAGGTTGGGAGAAATCTAGGGGCGGCCAGACCAAAACATGGCACAAATCCATGAAGCCACTGACAAGTGGACTGAGCCACGTTGGTAGGTGTAAACTACCTGGTTGGGATCCGCGAGATGATAGTAACCGATGTTTAGATACGTTGAGTGACCTGGATCAAAATTGTTTGCAATGGCGCAGGTGCATACACTCTTTGTGTTCTCCCAAATTCTAATCTTCTGAATTCTTCATCTCCCTTTCTTTTCTCTCTATCCAAATTTATTTCACTGGACTATACTCATTGAATAACATCTTCAAACCCTAATCTTTCCGACTACTGCTTATACTTTTACTACCTCTAGTACTATGGGATTTGAATCGACAACTGCGTCTCTTTACTAATGTGGTATGGCAACTCGAACTGATGTACGTACGTACGAAGTTCTACGTTGGTGCCGACTGACTGATAGACAAAACCCAATGTACACGAATTAGCCTGGCTACTAATGATACATTACAGACCCTTCTTTATTTAAATAATAGATATGCCTAATCGTCGTTTTGAACATGGAGTACGAGTAACAATGGGGCCGTCAAATATAATAAGAATTCTCTAGTACGGAATTTGGATAACCTATATATAAATACTTTTGAATGCTTAAGCATGTTATTTACTTGATTTAACAAGTTTGCTTTTTACAGGCGAAGTGCAAAACAGGTAGACTCACTTCAAACGAGTTTCCATCTCTGATTTGTTGGTTAATGGAACCATAATCCTGTAAAATGTACACAACAGTACAAGATAATACGATACGCAAAAGCAGAATTTACTAATTTGATAAAAAATCGCTAGCAAGATAAACTGTAACTCGGTTGCCAAATACAGGTTTATTCATCAACTGACCTTGAGTAACGGTCGTGTCAAGAATAGTAATATTACCCGAATGCCCAAGCAGTAGTTGCAATGCAGTTCGAATCTGTGACCCGATGGATGAAAGCTAGGCAGTCTAATCATTAAAACATCACTCCATGGTTAAGAAGGTGACAGTCCGTCCGTCCGTCCGATATTTCGGATCGATATGAGGTGGTCAAAGGACAAATTAAAACCCGACTTTTAAAAAAGCCCCACACACAATAAAAACTGAACGGACAGATAGCATGTTTATATTTCCAGTCCGTATAATACCATACCCATACGAAATAAACGAGGCTATAATGGTTATCGATTCTCTTACTACGACCCAGATACTCTTATTGCTTAGTAATCTTGGACACTAATTCACTCGACAAGTCCCAAATCAGAACACGGTTGAACAAGAACATAATTTTATCTAAAATAACGAGGTTGGATGGAAGTAAGAATCACAATAAGAAAAATGTTAGTATATTTATATTTTTACATAAGATTTTAGAGTTCTCTCCAACTATTCGCCACCGCTGAGTGGTTAAGAAGTAGCCAATCAACGTGCCCCAACACAATCTCGCACGGAACGTGCTCTAATCCAATCTACATCCCGCTAATAATAATTCACAGGCATCATGAGCTATTGGTACTAAATGATAACCATAGATCATTAAACATGCAATATATTTAACAATTCGTAGGTAAGTCAACATCTTAGTCCCTATGACAAAAATAATAACATCGAAACCATATATGTTAACCAACATAAAATTACAGTGGTATGTATGTGTTCACCCACCCTTGATTGCAAATCATGATTGCTCCTCCCTATGTACGTGTCCTGCACATACATGTAAATTGATAAACGGAGAGTTAAATTAGCCATCAACCGGACATTTTATGCAGCCCAATTCGTCATTATTGAAAAGACAAGGTGCATGCTTCATCAAAAGCCCAAATAGCACGTAAGCGATTGTGTCACATTCCATGGATGGATAGACACAAAGACTGTATTCATTGAAGTTATATGTAGCAAGACTTCAATGAATACAGTCTTTGTGTCTATCCATCCATGGAATGTGACACAATCGCTTACGTGCTATTTGGGCTTTTGATGAAGCATGCACCTTGTCTTTTCAATAATGACGAATTGGGCTGCATAAAATGTCCGGTTGATGGCTAATTTAACTCTCCGTTTATCAATTTACATGTATGTGCAGGACACGTACATAGGGAGGAGCAATCATGATTTGCAATCAAGGGTGGGTGAAAACATGCCAAAATGGTTGCAGGAACAAATGAATTCCAATGGTCACAGGATAGACAGATATCATCCTCCATTACGAAACATTTGATTGAGACTGGTCATAAGGTTGACATCAAGTCAGCATTTGTAGTGTTGTACAAAAGCCTTCAAGGACGTATGCTAAGGTTTATTGAAGCCTTAGCTATACGAAAACTGAAACCCCTTTCATGCGTTCGAAAAATATTTGCCCTTACCCTTATTATTATTATTTATTTATTTATTTGAACACATAAATATTGGTACAAGAGAGCGCCAATATATATGCGCCACACAAAACAACGGGAATTCGAAGAGAAGTAGAAAGAAAAAAAAACTAAGGAACGCAAAAGAAAAGGAGAGTAATGACGAAGAGGTACAATCAGAAGAAATCTTTCAGTTAAGGAAGACAACCACTTTTTATGAAGAAAGTAAAAGAAGGTTACAGCAGGATCGCCACTGGCTTCTATTCTGAGCCATATCTGATAACGTCTCTAGCCACTGTGTAGCACCATCTCTCGGACCCCAACCAGGGAGTCGTGAAGGACCAACACAAGCCAGTCCTTTGCAGCTTTCTTTCATGCCACGACACCATGTCATGCACTGACCACCTCTCCGCTTCTTCCAACCAGTCCCAGAGTCGGCAAATAATGCACGACGTGGAATTCTCTGGGACGACATTCGGAGAACATGTCCAAGCCACCGAAGTCGGTGTTTCAAGATGGTGACACCAATTGAGTTATCATCTCTGTGCCCGAACACACGATGCCGAACCTCTGCATTACTCACATGGTGTTGCCACTGAATGTCAGCAATCCTTCGGAGACAGCGATGATCGAACACAGAGAGTCGTCTAACGTCCTCAACTCGGAGAGGCCAGGTTTCACAAGCATAGAGCAAAACTGCTCTCACCGACGCGTTGTAGATCCGGCCTTTTACAGCCAGACTAACATCACGAAGGCGCCAAAGGTGGCCCAGATTGGCATAAATCGTTCTGGCTTTCACTATTCGTGCATTGATCTCATCACTCACACCCCCACCAGCACTTATGCAGCTACCCAGATACACGAACTTCTCAACTACGTCTATCTGCTCACCGTCCAGGGTGAGTACATGATTGGAATCCTGCCAGTCTTGTAGAAGTACTTTGCACTTCGAAGGTGCAAAGCACATACCATACCTACGGACACTGATTGCCAACTGATTAAGTGCGGATTGCATGCCTTGGGCATTATCGCACAGTAAGACAATATCGTCCGCATACTCAAGGTCGAGAAGTCTTTCTCCAGGCAACAGATCCACACCACCATTACTTACATTCATCAGAGCTGTTTCCAGAATGTCATCGATGGCAAAGTTGAAGAGGAATGGTGAGATTGGGCAACCCTGCCTAACCCCACTGCTCGAATGGAACAATGGAGAGAGGTGGTTGTATGCCCTCACTCTGCCTGAGGTGTTTTTATACAGGGCTTTTAGGATGTTAATAAACTTCTCAGGCACACCCTTCTTCAATAGACAATCCCAGAGAACAGTCCTATCCAACGAATCGAAGGCAGCCCTGATGTCAAGAAACACTACGATTGTTGGCCTTTGAAAAGTATGGCGGTGTTCTAACATTTGGCGGAGGGTGAAGATATGATCAATACATCCTCGACCAGAACGAAACCCAGCCTGCTCCTCGCGAGTCAATCTTTCTCGGGTTTTGAACAACCTACGAAGTATGACGGAAGCCAATAGCTTGGACGCAATCGGAAGTAAACTTATCCCCCGGTAGTTGTTACAGGAACGACGTGAACCCTTTTTAAAGATAGGGACAACTATCGACTCATTCCATGACGTTGGCACACTCTCTAGTTCCCAAACCTTTGTGAACAACGTCGTCAATTCCTTAGTCAAAAAGTCACCACCATCTTTAAAAAGAGCCGGAGGTAAGTCATCTGGGCCAGGTGATTTGTAACGCTTCAAGAGTTGGAGTTCCTTGCGGACTTCCTCCTCATTTGGTGGATCAGTCGTCACCGGCCATGGACGGCAGGACAGTCTGACCGATGTTGCCGGAGCAGCAGGCCAGTTGAACTGCCCTTCGAAAAATTCTGCCCATCGTCCAAGACGTCGATGGAGTTAAGGGAACTCTACCCTTAACCTACCTTGATAATACTGATTTATTATCCAGAGTGGTTATCACATTTTTGTGTATTTTATTATTTTTTTGGTTACGGCTTACCTTTAACCTGTCTAGTTGACCTCATAATTTTCACATAAAAATGTCATAACAAGTATATATGTGATCAGATTGTTCGAAATGTATTGCGCAAATATATCACATAATTCTGATAAGCTTCGTCTTCTCATTGCATTATCGAAATGCTCGAATTGACAATCCAAAACACTTAATATAGTTCAAATAATTTTGATAATTATTGTCATGATCTTATGCGAAAACTTTACTCATAATGATATGATGCGAAGTTCTACGTTGTTGCCGACTGACTGACTTACTACATATAACCATTAACTCTATCGAAGTATAGGGCAAATATGTTTGCAAAACCACAGCCTAAATAAAACCAAATCATTTAATTTCCTGTTTAAATTGATTCGACGTTGATCAAGTAGGGTGGTGTCCTTAATATAAACGTGATTATGTGTACAAATTTACTCTATGTAATGATTCAATAAATACGTAAGTGATTAGATCCATATTTGACTATTTCCATATATTTTTCTAGGTAATTTTGATTCCATTATACATTAGAAATTTAATTGACGGTAGCCAAACTGATGGGGTTTCAAGTTTGCACTGAATGAATTAGCCTGGATATGATGTTTTACATATCGAATTATTTGAACACATAAATATTGGTACAAAGAGACACCGTATACATATGTGCAACACAAGTCACTTCATTTGTGTGTGGGCTGTGATAATGCCCGGGTACCCAGACTGAAGCAGGTGGTTTTCTCAGGGGAATATACCCGGAGCCATCGACCCAAAGGTCTGATCAACAAGGCAACGGAACAACGTTAGGATAGGTAGTTTAATGGTAACCGGCGAACAACAATGAGTCATCCGTTGTCTCAGAATCCTGGAGCCCCGACGCACCACTGGTTTGGAATCAAAGTTTTCCAACTCCCATAGGTGGATCCTCCATATCTACCAACCCAGTAAAAGCACCGGATATTCGCTTTTCTTCCTCTGAATTTCGTAAACAACACCCCTGCCGCGAGAAGGATTTCCCTGACAGTGGCTGTATACGCGTGGCCATGCGAGAGCATTTCAAGAGGGAGAGCGGACTTTCCACACTCTCGGCCGTACCAGGCCGTCTAGGGGCTAAATATCAAACCATCTCTTAAAACTAGTAACACTGATTGACGTACAATCAAATTGGGAAATTATTGAGGAGTTAGTCAATAGGAAACCCTGGACCCGGGTTTCGTGCTACTTGGCACTCGTCAGCAAGGTGTACCTGTAATCTTGAGGGAACTGGTGCTCCCTGGCGGATTCGATCTCGTGTCACCCAGCTTCACAGTCAGAGACGTTACCACTGAGCTATCCGAGCCGTGACTAACCTCCTGTAGGACTGAGATGTAATCACAATTGATTGATCACTGGGTGGTGATCAATGTCATGCTTGTCTAGTCCTTATTAGTGCAGATCGAATGCTATCGATCATGTTGCAATGTGGCCACCAGTCTAGGTGACTCGACACTGCGGGCACTATGTATTGAGATTTAGATAGTAGTTGAAGGTAGTCAACAGGAAACCTTCACAGGATGAATGGAGTAACTGTTTAAATGACTCAGCTTTCAATAAGGCTTGAAACGCTACTCTACTCTGAGTTTAAGGAGCAAGGTATTATTATCGTCAGCTCTCAAAGTCTGTTGCCTCCCGATAGGAATAATGAGTGGTAATTTTTTGGGATCTATTTATGGACCAATACTGTGAGTATAATTGTTAAATAACTTAACTTTTCATATTCATGTCCCTCTTATCATAAGCTTTATTTTAACATATGAACTGTTATTAAACGATTTTCCATTCTTGAATTATTCCCTATCTATTAATCTATACCTCCCACATTCACAGACACATTTGGCTAAATCTTGTACAACTGTTGTTTTCTATTTTATGATACGATGTGGTCTGCTTGATTGGTCAGTCAGTCGGTCAGTCAGCTACAACGTAGGACCAGGCACATATGTGCATCGGTCCAGGTTGCCATACCTCATTAGCACAGCAAGATGAACACCGGATTCATAGGAGTGGTTAGGTCAAAGGTTGCAATAAGGATATAGTATAGGAAGAAAGAATTAGTTCGTAGACAGAAAGAATGAAGTGATTTTAATCTTTTAGTTTAAGGGAAGACAGGGAGTGTATACACCGACGCCATTGTGATCGATTCTGAGCCATGTCACCAAGAGTCTCCAACCATTGGTTACGAAAGTCACGCGGACCCCAACCAAGTAGTCTGCATCTACCAACATGGCTCAGACTAGAAGTTAGTGACTTCAGGCACTGATGCCACGTTTTGGTTTGGCCGCCCCTAACTTTCTTCCAACCATCCCCTACCCCGGTTAGCATTGCACGTCGTGGTAATCGGTGTTCAGGCATACGTAATACGTGGCCCAACCATCTCAGTCGATGAAGATTCATAACCTCATCAACTGATTTACCATCATTCCCTAATACCCTGCGTCTAACCTCACTATTACTTACCCGGTGATCCCAGCAGACGCCAGCAATATTTCTAAGGCATCTGTGGTCAAATACTAATAGCTTACGAGTGTCTTCTACTCTTAGTGGCTATGTTTCGCTGCCGTAAATTAAAACAGAACGAACTGCCGCGCAGTATACCCGTCCTTTTATTGATAGACGGATATCTCGCCTTCGCCATAGGTGACGTAAGTTGGCAAAAGCCAAGCGAGCTTTTCGAATCCGTGCTGAGATTTCGTCAGACACCAACCCATTAGGGCTGATCACACTTCCAAGATAAGTGAAGTTATCAACGCGTTCGACTACTTCACTCCCTATCCTTAGTTCAGGTGTTGACGCAGACCAGTCCTGAAGCAACAACTTGCATTTAGAGGGAGAGAAGCTCATCCCAAACATTCTGGCATTGTTGCTTAGTGCTACCAGAAGACTCTGCATTTTGTCAGCGTCTTCACCAAACAGGACTATGTCATCTGCGTATTCTAAGTCGATAAGTGGACCTCCTGGAAGGAGATCAATACCCGAGAATTCAGTCGACGAGTGTTATTTCCATCAATAGGTCTATGATGAAGTTAAACAAAAATGGAGAAAGTGGACAGCCTTGACGGACACCACTTGAGGTTGCAAAAGTAGATGACAGTTCGCCATAAGCCCTGACTCGACTAGTAGTGTTCGAGTAAAGAGCCTTCACAAGGTTTATGTACTTCTGAGGTACGCCTTTCAATGACAGACACTGCCACAGAGTCTCGCGGTCTACCGAGTCAAATGCTGCTTTTAAGTCAAGAAAGACCACCATCGTCGGACGCCGATAGGTATGCCTGTGTTCTAGAACCTGACGAATGGTGAATATGTGGTCGATGCAGCCACGACCAGGTCTAAAGCCAGCTTGGTTCTCTCGAGTTTGTAGTTCACGAGTCTTAGTTAGGCGTTTGATAATTATCGAGGCCAGTATTTTAGATACTATGTTTGTTAAACTAATCCCTCTATGGTTGTCACAGGATGATTTTGACCCTTTCTTATATATTGGGACGATAAGTGATTGCGACCAGTCAGATGGGATAAAGTCTAATTCCCAGATCTTAGCTAAAATATTAGTCAACTTAATCGCTAAAATTGGACCACCATCCTTAAAGACCTCTGGAGCCAATCCATCTGGACCAGCTGCCCTTCCTCGTTTCAGATTAACTATAGCCTTTTGAACTTCAGCAAGAGTAGGGGGACCTATTTCAATGTTCCATTCACACTGTCTGGGAATGGAGGGTAGTTGTAGAGTAGCTGAAGGCCAGCTGAACTGTTCTCTAAAATGTTCCGCCCATCGTTCTAAACGTCTGGACTGGGAGCAGATGAGAGTATCATCTTTTTCCGAAATAATCTCACTTACACTTGACTTATTAATTCCAGTTTCTTTTATTAGTCTGTAAAGCTGTCTTGTGTTCCCTATAGTCGCCGCCTTTTCCATCTCTTTTGCTTTCGTTACCCACCACTGCTCACGGTCGTTTCTTAGACTTTTTCTTAACCTAGATCTGATTTGTTTTCGCTCTTCATCATGTTTGGTATATAAACAGAGTATGTTTGAAATACATGATTCATATCGCAGAGGCTTGGACTTGTGTTCTGGACTTAACTGGCTGGGCTAGGCGGGAAGCAGGACCAATCAGAACTCTAGGTTGCTCGCACGTGTTTTACACGCCTTAGACCGATCGGTAATTCGCTGCTTCTGACATACACGCGGCTTGCCACAAACCCGACTAAATAGATCTAAAATTAGTAAAAGGATTACATTCACTATAAAATGCTCTTCATGATTAGTGAAACACTCTATTAGGAACATTTTAATACACAATGAAAAAAACATTTGTAACTTTCTATTATCACTTTAAACGGTTAAGTGCAAGTTACTGTACATTGGAAGTTCAAAAATTTTTTTAAAAAAAAGACATTTTTCAAATATATTTAAAGTGCTTAAACATACACTTGCGTTATGCTGGACAGGAAGTTGAACTTCAACACATTCAGGATCTAAATATAAAAGAATATATGTATGATATGACTCCGATTAATATTTGGATATTGTGGATCATAGCACCGAGTACACGAGTTTATACTTGGTAAATTTGTACGATAGTGAAAGTATATGTAATTAACCACTGAGCATAGGCAAATAGGCACTCAACTTACAAATAAACGAACAAAATTTCGAACTATTTTTCTAGTCGATAGGGAATGAACAAGTGATATGGCCTACACAAACCGTAAACACTGTTTTTATCGATTACCGATGACATGAAATTGAGAAACAAAAATTAACTGGTCTTCTTTGAGATAACACTGAGACCTAACTGGGAATTAGATTACACGTCAGTGAATATAATACCTGAACGGCAATATAAACAAAGTTGGTCAGAATCAGGGCCACTGTATAGTGTTGTGTAATTTAAAGCATTAGCCTCACGTGAATAACACAGTTATCTTACATGACTAACTTAATAGCAGTTAGCGTAACTCACATGCTAAATTACCAATTCTATACTTATTTTCCTTGTCCTAATTCCGCTACAAAGACGGTCTATTGGTTTAAAGACTGTCATTTTGAGGTGTATTAACAAGCCAGTATTTGAAGACGATATGAGTAACGTGGAATAAAATTTACACAACGATTCATGAACACTATTTAAGAACTCATACTTTTTCTTGCATCCTGTTAAGAACTGTGATCACCTGAGCAGATGGAGTATTAAGTGATTTCTTACATCGTTTATTGTGAGTCCCTAAATCCAGTGATTCAAACTTCATTGGGATAAACAATAGAATGCATACGTTGTTAACCGATTAAAACGGATGCTTGGAGTTAATTTCTCAAAGTTAGTGGAGTCATCAGTCGCCGATGATAAGCAAGGTTTTTCCTATCTACCATATCCACAATTCAAAAATATAAAGATTGTGATATTCTAATTCACTTCGCTATTATCCAGACTCGCAAATCGTATCATCACAATTAGAATAAATCAAATCGATCTGGTGATTGTTTACAGTTCATCTATTTAGATAACAGTATCCTAAAAAGTAATTTGCTACGAAGCTAGTACCAATTTATGTCAAACCGAATTTCAAGAAAAACAAGAGCTTTACAAAAACACGATTATGTAACTCATACCTTGAACCCCACTAGATTCTAAAAAATGTATAATACGAAAACAAAACAAAAACCTATGTAAATGATAAAAAGCGACCAAGAGTAAGAATACTGATGAGTTCAATATGATGATCATTCAGTTTAGCATCCGGATAAATTTCGACAAATTCAGTTACTAATGTTGTGGTCAGGATGGAAGCAAAGCATACAAACGATCTTAAATCACTTTTTTAGCCAACGACAACACAATGTTTGGTTACGAATTGATTTACGATTAAAAAGGTAATATGATTATAATAGATTCAGCAACAAGAATAAATATTTAGACACGAATCACTAAGATTTTTACTCCGAACTGATATCAATCATAATCCAAGAATAAATTCCGCTAAGTTAATATTTAAATGCAAATAGTAATTACTGAAAAGGAAATCTATACATCAACAGTAGCATTCCTCCGTCAAGTGTATTTTACTGCAGTCGCAGGTCAAACTTTGTCTTTTTGAATTGTGGACGCATAGCGTTGTTGGGTTAACTCAATCCGATCAATTTGCATTTACTGAGTTAACCCTTTCCACCACTATTGTGTCGATATTTCCGAAGTGCGTAGCGAGTTTTCAATAATAAAACACATCACACAAAGGCTCAAATCGAGTGTTAAAAAACAAAGTAAACTTACATGGTACAAGAAACAGATAAATTGGTAGGCTGAGAAGTCCAATTATTAATCCTGGAATAACAAATGACCATCCCCAAGCTATTTCTACAAAGGCACCAGCAACTAAGGAGCCCAAAATGTTTCCAATGCTAGAATGCGCTGTCCAAACTCCCATAAAAAATCCTCTCCTGAAAATTAAGGTAAAAATAAATGGAAGTTATACTGTAGTGAATAGAACACGGGTGGGGACAATCGGATGTATTTAACACAAAATTACAGGACTTGTTAATAAAATCTAGCAATCATAAAGTAAATACCTAATTTGCAAAATGTCCGCCAATTGTCTCAAAATGACTCCGACTTCATTGTTCTTGCATTTGCATACAAATTGCATCCTGTTTCCATTCTTCACTGTTCGATCCTCTTGTCTCTCTGCTGCCAGACCTTCCATTCACAACCAACATCATATAAGTAGCACACACCACGATACTACTAACTTCCATAATCTCAGATAGAAATACCCTAGGATCTAGCATAAAAGCATATCAGTTCGTTTCCGACACTAAGCACCAATCAATCGACAAGCATGAAGAAAGTGGTGCCCGAAATAATAATAATAACAATAATAATGGCAATAATAACAATAATGGTAGCAGTAATAATGATGATAGTAACAACAATAATAGTAGTAGTAACAATAACGGTAATAATGATAATAGTAATGACGATAATAATAATAATAAAAATAGTAATAGTAGCAACAGTAATAGCAATAATAGCAGTAGTAGTGTTAGCGGGACATAGACTAGATTAAAGCATGCTCAATGCATGATTGCTTTGGTGCACGCTGATTGGCTAATTCTTAACCAATCAGCACTAGTCGATAGTTGGAGAATACTCTGGAATCTTCTTATGTAAAAACTATAAATATACTGACGTTTTCCCTATTGCGCTTCTGACTTGCTTCTTGCTTCCATCTAACCTTGTTATTTGGAATATAATCTCCTTCCTGTTCAACCGTGTTCTGATTTGGGGACTTGTCGAGTGAATCGGTGTCCAAGAATACTAAGCAATAGGAATAGCTGGGTCATAACCGTAAGAAGAAAGAGATTATAACAAGTAGTAATAATGATAATCATAATAATAAATAACCCAAATAAAAAAGGCTAAGACTAAATACTACATCTATGATCTAAACCAATAAAAAGTAGATGGGTCTGAACTATTTAGGTTACTTACGCATCTCGATAATGCAATGAGAAGACGTAGTTTATCATAATTCTGATAAACTACGTCTTCTCATTGCATATTCGAAATTTATCAAAGGGACTAATTGTTTTAAATTACTTATGCATCGTTTCATATAATATCTCTAACTAATAATTTTGTTGTCACCAATCAAGAAGCTTATACAACCCCTGAATGGTACACACCAAGGGGTGATGACCAAATAGAATGATGATAGCAAGTCTTCGTTTTCCCAAGGTTAGACATTTCCCAATACATTACTGTACCGGCTAACATAACACGCTTAATTAAAGCATTCATCACACGTTTCTCTTATTCCTACCGATTAACTGAATGAAGAATAAAGTCTAATTTGAGGATCCCAATCTATGTGACTATCAAAAAGTGATGTTAATATATTTTAACAATAATAGATTGCATAGTAATCGTACATAGCAATAGTTATGGTGGAGTTTTGTTCTCTAAGCTGGATGGTTTGTTCGTGGAGCTTTCATCGTTCTTCTGAACGACATCATCAGCACAAACTTCAGATAGAAGTCTGAAGTTTGTGCTGATGATGTCGTTCAGAAGAACGATGAAAGCTCCACGACCAAACCATCCAGCTTAGAGAACAAAACTTTACCAAAATCATCCACCTGAGCTACAAATCTTCTCCACCATCTCAAAATAGCATTAGTTACCTTATAATAAATACTGTTGTTATGCTAATAATAATGCGGTTCAAATAAGAAGTAAAGTTTTACAAACTCAACTTCAAGCCACATTGCTGTCGAAAACGAAGTAGGTAGAGCAAGAGTTGAACCTATGACCTACTGTTTGAAAACCCCATACTTTATAACATAAAGTCACCCCTACCTCACTTATTTCGGTAAAAGGGATTATAGTCCCTCAGAGAATGAATAAACCTGTATCCTGAAATAAAAGTAGACAGCTGTTTAATTATAGCTTTTTTATTGTATCCTGCGATGATAAACAGCTGAACGTAGAATGAAGTAACAATAATAATCTGAATAGCTAAAAGAAAACACTGGTTGTTTTACGTGTTGGATTTGGAAATCCATTTCGGTATGGATTCATGTCCGTGGCTTCGAGTTCCACTCTAAGTGTGAGGGGCAACAATACTAACCGATTCCCCAGACCCAAGTAAGTGCAGCTGGGTTTGGACGAATACCTTGGCTACAGTTGAATGCCTTAACCGTTGTTCCAATTTACAATGATAAATATACCCTGTAAAAAGATAATTTTAAATATGTGATGTGCAGTAATGAAAGTAAGACAGGAATGACCATTGACAATGGACTAAGACACTAATTAGTGAATATGATTACCTTCATATTACTGGTTTCTACTTTGGACTCATCAAGTGACTGCTTGTAATTACGTTGAATAAGGTATTGTCTGGTGTATTAACCGGGTTTTCTATTATAATCGTGAATCAGGTATTTGGTATAAGGTGATCAAGTTTGTGTATATATAGTATTATTATTACTATTTGAAAACAAATATTGGTACAAAAAGGGATCAAAATAAACATGAACCACATAATACGAAAATAAGATTGTGAAGGGATAAAGAAAGGAAGGTGAGCGTAATAAAAAACACAAAATAAATAAGTGGATAGAAGTGAAAAAAAATAATACTAATGAGAGCAGCTTAGTTAAGAAAAATACAACCAGAAGGGATTCTTTCAGTTAAATAAGTTTCTCTTACATATATAAAGAAAGTTATAGCAGAAACGCCACTGACTTCTATTCCGAGCCATATCCGGAAACATCCCAAACCAGTGTCGCATTATCTCCAGGACCGCAACTAGAGCCGTGAAAGACCAAAGATGCTAGTCCCGTACAGCTTTCCTTTATACTACGACACTATGTCATACACGGAACACTCTTCCGCCTTTTCCAAACATTTCTAGTGACGGCAAATAATCCACGATGTGGAATTCTCTGGGATGATAATCGTAGTGCACGTTCAAGCCACCGAAGTCGATCTTTCAGGATGGTGATACTAATTGAGTTGTCGTCACCGTGAACGAACACACGTCGCCGAACTTCCGCATAAATAACATGGTGTTACCACTGAATGTCAGAAATCCTTTAGAGATAGTAATTATCAAACACAGAGTTCCTTAACATCCTCAACCCGGACAGGCATGTTTTCCTCAAGATGTTAATAAATCTCTTAAGCACACCCTTCTTGGAAAGACAATCCCAGAGGACAGTTCAGTCCAACGAATCGAAAGCGGCCTTGATATCAAGAAAAACCGGAATTGTTGGCCTGCAATAAGTATGGCAGTGTTCTAAAATTTGGCGGAGAGTGAAGATATGATCAACACATTCTCGATCAGGACAAAAACCACCATGCTGTTTGTGAATTAACCTTACATTGGTTTTGAATGATCTACAAAGTATGACGGAAGCCAATAAATAAGAGTCCAGAATCGAAAGTAGACTTATCCCCCACTAGTTGTTGCATAGTTGAAGTAAACCTTTTTTAAAGATATGGACGACAGTTGTCCCATTCCAGAATTTTGGGACATATTCTGGTTCCAAAACCTTTGCAAATAACCCAGTTTCTTAACCAGAAGTTCGCCATCATCCTTAAAAATGGTCGGACGTAAATCATCTGAGTCTGGCAATTCATAGTGCTTCCAGGAGTTGAAGTTACGTGTGGACTTCCGCCTCCTTAGGTGAATTAGTTGAGACTGGCCAGAAAGGAAAGAACAGTTTGGTTGATATCTCCTGGGCAGCAGACCACCTGGACTGTTTCTCGAATAACTTTGTCCATCATCCAAGACTTTAGATGTTATTGATTAGCGTACTATCAGCTTCACAAACTGTTTCACTCACACTAGACTTCTTGAGTTCAGTGGCTCGGGTGAGTTGAAAGAGCTTCCGGCAGTTGCCAGATGCAGCTGCTGCTTCCAACTCGATAACACACTCCGACCACTAGGCTCCTAGGTCCTTAAGCACATTTTCCACAATTTAATTACGTAAGGAATTACGTTTATCATTAAACTAGAGGTTAGCCGTAGGCCGACGTGCCTCAAGCTGTAAGGAGCCTGTAAAAACCCAGTGCCTAAAACCGGGACGCTTCGTGAAGCCACAAGCAACTTTATCCGTCACTGTCATGACGTCATGTGTTCATCTATGCTTTACGATATGTTGATAACAAGTCTCGAACCTAGCTCGCCTTAACATTCGGGTACAGAAAATGTGTTTATACAAATTCTATGAATTTACAGGCCACTGAAACGTAAAATAAGACTGGAGAAAAGAGGTCATGATCAGAGTCCAGATAAGTGCGTTTAAGAGAGCAGCAGTCCGATATACAACCACAACATCAAGAACTAGTCGCGATATAATCAATCTGAGTCCAGGCTCGAGTTGAGGAGAAATTACGTCACGCAACATGACGGAGATGATTGTGTCGATTGTTAGTGCCAACCAGAAACAGGTTGTAGTCTCCACAAAGCTACAGGAGACGGTCGCTGCTATTTGACCTGTGACCAACAAGTCCCTACTGGCCATCTAGAGGGCTCTACTCTGTGCCTAAACACCCTATCTGGATATTTGAATTTCCAGTTAATAATACAGTATCTGTCGAACGAGCTTTCTTGAGTAGACCATTTAACTGGTGATAGAACTGATCCTTGATTGTATTTGGGTTGCAATCTGTCGGGGTGTAGGCAAACATTACGAAAGACATCGTTCTTCCCATTTTGATCTAATAACAGATAATCGACTGTTAATAGGGATCCAATCTATTAGTGCTGCATCTGCTCTGGAGCGTAGTGTGACACAAAGGCCAGCAAAACCGGACGAAGATCCCACAGTCTCCAGAAAAACGTATACAAAACAAGTCTCTTGATTTATGAAATGGAGATCAAATGTGTAGTATTTCACTAGAATCTTGAATACAGGTTTCTGATAGACAACCGACGTCGGTGATAAGATATTTAAAGACAGATTCAACCCCATATCTATTATCCGACATGCGTTAGTGTAGAAAACTAGTCTGAAAAGTACGCATAGTTTAAGAAAAAATGGTTGAGAAGTTGTAATCGGTGGCAGCATTCAACTTATGACCAATGAGTGACTTGAGACCATTCAGACAAGACAGAATTTTCACCACAAGTGAGCTATTGCATGAGTTGGAAACTAAAAGTAAACATAGGATGGGGACAGTAAGGAATAGAAGGATAAGGGAGTATACAATGATTTTGTATGTCATTAAGTACTTAAGATAATTGCTTAAGAAGGTAAAGAAAGTCACTCCCCGAGCCCTTGACCTAGAGGTCTAATCCACAATGCAGTGAAACTGAGTCAGATGCGATCTTATGGTAATCACTAGCCAAGAATAAGTTCATCCACCACTCGACCTCCCAGGATCCTGAAGCCTGTGTACACCTCTGACTTGGAATCAGGTTTTGCAAACTTCTTTAGGTGGATCCGCCGTACCCACCAAATCGGTTTAGCTTCCAGATATTCACTTTCTGTCCTCTCACTTCCGTAAACAACTCCACCGCGGCGAGAAAGCAGTGAGTAGAAATTTCCCGGCAGTGGCTTTATTTGTGTGGTTATATGAGAGAATTTTGAGAGGGAGAGCGAACTCTCTCCACTCTTAGCCGTACCTGGGGATTTGTGGGCAAACATCAATTCAACATCTAGTCTAATGGTAGCATAATATCGGTCACCAGTCTCATTATCGTACAGTAAAAATGTATCATAGAGGGGAAGAAATATTTCTATTTGACCGTTATATCATTCTGTATTCAGGAGAACCAGACACTATTCAAGCTCTTTACAACCTGAACAGCACAGCTCAATCCGGTGGCGTAATCATACAGGTATCAAAAACCTTGGTGGACCAATTCGAAAAGTATATGTGTTTTCTAAATATAGAAACGTAGACGTCAAGGCATAATATTAGTACATTTCTGTGATGCAGGACTGTAGAAAAGAAAAAAAATGGTAAAGCTGCTTACTTATTTTTACCAAACCAATTCCCCATACAAGCTACAACTGCCGGCCAACCGGATGCTTGAACTATTCCAGCAACACCCTAAAAAATATCAGCGTACAATATTGCAAAGATTGGAAAACATTATGTTGTTCATAATTAAGAAATTATGGGAACTTGAAAGTTTCAATTTCAACATCGCTTTTTAAATAATAAATGGCGAATGTTATGCAGATAAGAATCCACACTTTTCAAGAAGACTTAAAATTAGTCTCCGAAGGAAGTGAACATAGAGGAAGATTAATCAAATGATGCATTGATGTTACAAACAAGCTATTAATCTTATCTTTGTTCTTATAAGAATATGTAGCAACAACAGTGAATTATTGTAGAATTTTGAATTTAGTAATAGGATATTTCAATATGACCATGAACCTTTATAAAGTTTATTTATGTTAGAGCTTGGTTTCTGTTATGATGGATAGATAATTGACAGGTATTTGAATTATTAGATATTCAATGAACTTTGGATACCTGGACCTAGCAACAAGCCATATATATATCAAAAGACTTGGATAAAATGTCACTATAAGTCGTGTGCGTCGTATTTTATTGAGAAAACGGGCTTAATGGTAATAATCAAAGACCAGAAGAATGTATTGTAAACGTTAGATTGTAAAATCACACCACGGCACTCAGTATTTGAACATACTAAAGAGGAATCTCGTTACTCATGTAATTTATGGAGTAGACGTGTACGTATAGTTAAAATACGTGTAAACTTGGTAGTGTGAAAGCATTAAGCCCAACGCTAATTCACCGGAAATTAATGATCTACAAATATGAAATCCTCTAATCGCCTATAGTATCTAATCATGTTGCTTCCGCGTTCATATTCTGTATATAGGCATATCATATTACTGAATGGAAACCCAGTTTATCTGGTTGGTAACCTTGCCTTTAAAACCATTTTATACAGAGATTCAGACAGATAATCAAGTCTAGTGAGAAACTGATTTGCAGACACATAGTATCACTAGATCCCATATATCTCTGTGTGTTAAATTCATTTTAACGAATCCAGACACGTTCATTGTCATCACACAGCGAACCAAAGCAAGTGAGAATTAAGAATCAGGGGAATTTGCGGGTAAATATTTTCTTGACGTTTTATCACCCACCCGCCTGTAGCTCCTATAGGGTTGCTGCCGGTCCCAAGCCCGGGTAAAGGAGGAGGGTTGGGCATGGGGTTAGCGTCCCCATCCCGTAAAAAACTAACTCGCTAAAAAAACGCTTACCAGAAAAAATAATCCAAACCATTTTAACTCTGCCCTGGGAGTTAGAAGGTCTTCATTTAGAAGAATTATGACGCTTCATGGTGAAAGCCGAGTTCCTTCGGAAGCCACGAGGCCGATGCCCCTTCTAACAACCAGAGCAAAAATTTTTATAGGTACATGGAACGTTCGAACAATGCGGGAAACCGGGAAGACCAGTCAAATATCAATGGAAATGAGGAGATACAACTTAGCAGTACTGGGAATCAGCGAAACCCACTGGACCCAAGTTGGACAGAAAAAGCTAGCTACGGGAGAGATGCTGCTATACTCCGGTCACGAAGAGGAAAATGCTCCGCACACTCAGACAGTTGCTCTAATACTGTCCAAAGTAGCACGAAATGCACTTGTAGGATGGGAATCTCACGGATCCAGAATCATCAAAGCATCATTCAAAACAAAGAAGGAGGGGATCACAATGAATATTATCCAGTGTTATGCACCCACCAATGATAGCAACGACGACATTAAAGATCAATTCTACGAGCGGATGCAATCAATCATAGAGCATTGCCTACGAAAGAACCTCACCATTCTGATGGTGATATAAACGTCAAAGTCGGAATAGACAACACTGGATATGAAGATATTATGGGACGACATGGACTGAAAGAAAGAAACGAAAATGGAGAAAGATTTGCAAATCTATGTGCATTCAACAAATTGGTCATAGGTGGAACAATATTTCCACACAAGCGTATACACAAGGCTACATGGATCTCACCGGACCACACTACAGAGAACCAAATAGATCATATTTGCATCAACAAAACATTCCGAAGGACAATGGAAGATGTGAGAACCAGGAGAGGAGCTGACGTAGCTTCAGATCACCACCTAGTTGTAGCCAATTTAAAACTGAAGCTAAAAAAGAACTGGACAAGTGGACAAACAGCAATACAAAGGTTCAATACAGTCTTCCTTCGAGATACTGACAAACTCAATGAATTCAAGATAGCTCTCAACAACAGGTTCCAAGCCTTACAAGATCTACTGAAAGAAGAAGAAACTACTATGGAGGACAACTGGAAAGGCATCAAGGAAGCATTAACTTCAACGTGTCAAGAGGTTCTGGGCCTAAAGAAACACCATCATAAGGAATGGATCTCTATAGAAACACTGGATAAGATTAAAGAAAGGAAGAACAAGAAGGCAGTAATAAACAACAGCCGAACACGAGCAGAGAAAGTCCAAGCACAAGCTGAATACATAGAAGCAAACAAACAAGTGGAGAGGAGCATTAGAGCCGACAAGAAGAAATACGTTGAAGAACTAGCAACGACGGCAGAAAAAGCTGCTAGAGAAGGAAATATGAAACAGCTTCACAACACAACGAAGAAACTAGCAGGGAAATACAGTAAACCAGAGAGGCCGGTCAAAGACAAAGAAGGCAGGAGAATCACCGAAATTCAACAACAGCGTAACAGATGGGTAGAATACTTCGAGGAACTCCTGAATAGGCCGGCTCCAATGAATCCACCGGACATCGAAGCAGCACACATAGATCTTCCTATAGATGTCAATCCACCAACTACGGAAGAAATTAGAATGGCCATCAGACAAATCAAGAACGGGAAAGTAGCAGGACCCGACAACATACCAGCTGAAGCACTGAAATCAGACATCGAAACAACCACAAGCATACTTTATCTTCTATTCAAAAAGATTTGGGAGGAGGAACAAGTGCCGATGAACTGGAAAGAAGGACAACTCGTCAAGATTCCAAAGAAAGGAGATCTGAGCAAATGTGAAAACCACAGAGGCATTACACTACTGTCAATACCAGGGAAAGTCTTCAACAGAGTGTTGCTGAACCGGATGAAGGATGCAGTAGACGCCCAACTTCGAGATCAACAAGCTGGATTCCGTAAGGATCGGTCGTGCACAGACCAAATTGCAACACTACGGATCATCGTCGAACAATCAGTTGAGTGGAACTCATCATTATACATCAACTTCATTGATTATGAAAAGGCATTCGACAGTGTAGATAGGAGGACATTATGGAAACTTCTTCGACACTACGGAGTTCCTGAGAAGATTGTCAATATTATCCGGAACTCATACGACGGACTACAGTGCAAAGTAGTGCATGGAGGACAGCTGACAGATGCATTCCAAGTAAGGACCGGAGTCAGACAAGGCTGTTTACTCTCTCCCTTCCTCTTTCTTCTGGTGGTCGACTGGATTATGAAGACCTCAACATCTGAAGGAAAACACGGAATACAATCGACAGCTCAGAACCAATTAGACGATTTGGATTTCGCAGAAGACCTAGCCCTCCTATCACGTACACACGAACAGATGCAGATGAAGACAGCCAGTGTAGCAGCAGTCTCTGCATCAGTAGGCCTCAGCATACACAAAGGGAAAACTAAGGTCCTCAAATTCAAAGCGGAGAACAGCAATCCAATCACACTTGATGGCAAAACTCTGGAAGATGTAGAGTCCTTCACATACCTGGGAAGCATCATCGATGAACAAGGAGGTTCAGATGCAGACGTAAAGGCGAGGATCGGCAAAGCAAGGGTCGCATTCCTACAATTGAAGAACATATGGAACTCAAAACAACTTTCAACCAATATCAAAGTGAGAATCTTCAATACGAACGTCAAGGCAGTTCTACTGTATGGAGCTGAAACTTGGAGAACTACAACAACCACAATCAAGAAAGTACAAGTATTTATAAATAGCTGTCTAAGCAAGATACTCAACATCCATTGGCCGGATGCCATCGACAATAGCCTACTGTGAGAGAGAACAAACCAGCTTCCAGCTGAAGAAGAAATTAGGAAAAGACGATGGAAATGGATAGGACATACATTACGCAAATCGTCAAACTGCATCACGAGGCAAGCCCTAACTTGGAATCCTGAAGGGAAGCGAAAAAGAGGAAGGCCAAAGAACACATTGCGTCGGATAATAGAAGCAGATATGAAAACGATGAATTACAACTGGACGGAGCTAGAAAGGATTGCCCAGGACAGGGTTGGATGGAGAATGCTGGTGAGCGGCCTATGCTCCTTCACGAGGAGTAACAGGCGTAAGTAAGTAAGTATTGAAAATTGTTATCCCTATTGAGGTATGGTCTGCTGACGAAGAATCACCAAGCAAATCAGTCCTGGGAACCTTTCTCCAACTGTTGCCAAGTGCGATCAATGATCTTGATGTTCGACTCCAATTGTCGACTCCAAACGTTTAGTTGGTCTGCCTCTTACTTTTTATCTTGAAGTCTACCGATTAGGACTTACTTTGTGATACAGTTTAATGGTTTCCGTAAACTGTGTCCGATTCACCTCAATCATCTTTTCCCAATTCCCTCCTTAGCCGGTACTTCATTTGTTATCTGGTCTCTGGTCAAACGGATCTAGAGTATTTTCAACAGACAACTATTTATAAATACATGTACTCTATTTCAGAAGCTTGGGGTAGTTCTCCAATTCTCAGCTCAGTACGGTAGAACTGTTTTGACGTTTCAAATGTTGGAAATTGACTTGGATCATGCATGATAGTACTTCAGAGTTTTAGACACTGGCCAACTACATGAAACTCTCCCTTGCTTTGACAATTCGTCTCTTCACATCTGTATCAGATCTTCCTTGTTTATCAACGATGGTGTCCAGTTAGATGAGGCCCCAAAGTGTCCCAGAGCACCACGTGTGACTTTGGTGGTGCTCGCTATGTTGTGCTTCAGAATCTTGCTTTTTCCCTTGTGAATGTTGAGGCTTACATCTGCGGAGGCCACTGCTACACTGGGTGTCTTCACTT